TATTGGTGGACGGTCACGTACGGAGGAAAATTACCGAGCCTGCTGTGTATTTTTCTATTGGCGGCGTGTCGGCGAGCGAGATTTCTCGCAAGTCCCACGGCTGCCGTAAACCCAAACCATTAGGAGGCATACGTGTTGCCGGCAGTGCGTTTACCCGTAATAAAGCAGTGTATGATATTGCGTTATTTTTTACAGGATGCAAATTACCACCGCGGTGATTTTTTTTTTTTAATCTTTTGGCCGTTGTGTGAGGAACACGTTGCCGTGTGTGCGATAACGCCGAGAACACGGGCAATTAAAGGATGCGCAATTCGACATAACGGTAAAGTTTGTATTCCAAGTGTACCAACTCGCACACCACGGTTCAGCGACCAGAGCGTCACGGGCCTGTTGCCGTTGTTATTTTTGCGCGCCCGTCTCCGTCGGACGGCGTTCTCATACTTTAAGGCTTTTTGGGCATGTTCAAATAATTTCACATTGACGTTGTCGCGCAACAACGACCGGTAAATGTCACCGTAGAAACCGCAGTGTCGCGCAAAGCACAATTTTCACGCCAGTCGGTTGCGCGATGGATGTGAACTTGTTTACCAAACAAAGCGGTCGGGTCGTGCATGTCGAAAGACGCGTTTCAACGTGGGAACATCGCGTCCATCGGCTCGTTTGAAATATTAGTGTGCGTTTTTCAACTAAATGGCTACGGAATGAAACACTGGTCATGTGGATGACAGTCGTTCAGTGCGAAAATACCGAAGGCGTAACGTTTCGAGGACTGTGAGATGTACTATTTTCTATAGAAGAATGCCAACAACTAGTAAAACACCTCCCAGAAGAATTTTCATATTCCAAATATTGAGTCTCAAAAATAAAATGGGGCGGTTACCGAACCCAAAGATATACTCCGAAATAAAGCTAATCAAATAGAGCATGCGCCATGTATTAATTTATATAAAATAACAATTTAAATAAAAACTATTGAGAATCGGCTGAACTGTTGGATTTGTCAGTTTTATTAGGCCTTTGTAAAAATAACGCTGGTTCGAATTAATATTGTGTTTTTTATCTGATAAATTCGTCGCGATGGCAATATATTTCCATAAATAGTCCGGTGTGCTTCGAAAATGTTCACAGTTTAACGATAATAAATTGATTTTGTTTGTTTTACAAAAAACAAAAATATTTCTTATGACTGAAACTTTTACCAAAGGACCCCTTCGTTTATAATAAAATATATATATATAAATATATAAAATATTTCGATAAAATATCGTTTATGACGTTTGTGAGTTTAAACAGAACTGATATTTTCCATAACGGTAATTACTCATCCGAACGTACAAGTTCCGACGAATCTAAATGAAATTGACCGCTTATTTTCTTCGCATGTACGTTTTACATCATACCAGTAAGACAATCGACTGTTTGAAATGAAGTCTCGTACAATGATATCTAGAAATCGATGGTTCTCAAAGTCAACGATTCAACGGCATGCAAAGATCATGATTCTACCGAACTTATTTGTTTTTCACAATTACTTTCAATAGTTTTCGAGCTTTCCAAATTACCCTGATTTTGTTATAACTGTCAAATATCTTATATCATATGATAGCTACACAAACACGGGGAATATAACATCCGTATTATTGTTTTGTATGTATAATGTAATTATTATGATATACAATACTAAAAAGTCCAATCAAAACAAAAAAAACATTTGAAATATTTGTGCTCGAGTCTGAGTTATTACTATGAAGACTCAATATCGCTGACCACGGCAGTTATACTTTCCGTCCATACGAGGAGCCCCTAAGTGATTCTGCATGACAATATTGAAACTTATATAGACCGATTATTTGAAAATTGGAAATGANAAGTACAATTAAAAAAAAAAAAACATTTGAAATATTTGTGCTCAAGTCTGAGTTATTACTATGAACACTCAATATTGCTGACCACGGCAGTTATACTTTCCGTCCATACGAGGAGCCCCTATGTTATTCTGCATGACCACATTGAAACTTATATAGACCAATTATTTGAAAATTGGAAATCANAAATTGGAAATGAAATGTTCGAAAATAAGACATACACAACATGAAAATATCTCAAAAATGTCGACCATCCAATACGAGTTGAGTTATTATTATATGGTTATTTTATTTTAAGAATTTTTGTGATATATTTTTCTACCGTGTTACTCTCGATGAAACTATTCAATAACTATTATCTAATATCTAGATTATTATTTGTTTTTGTTATTAATTATACATATAGAAATTCTTATGTTGAAATGTGTTATTTTTTGGAAATTACAATTGGTCATATCCGACAATTTCGATCGTTTTTTGTTTTGTAGAATTATTTTTAAATATATAATATAGCTCAGGTGATTCGAAATATTTATGTAAAAACAAATTTAATTTTTAATCAGAATACAGACGTTGGAAAAATATTTTTAAACGCGTTGCATCGAAATGAGCTATTACGTTTTTCTTATTTTCTGTAGCTTTGAAATGTGTGCACTACGCTACGTGTTAAATATTTATAAGCTTAAATGCAATAAGATGTGTTCTAAACCATCAGACAATATTTTAGTCCATTTTATATGTTTAAGTCAGTAATTTGAAAAAATAAGAAATTTGAAAACATATATTTTTCTCTTATTTCATTGAAATGTTAACGTTACAGTAAGCATAGTAACTATAACACTGACAGTTGTTGGTTGTAAATAGTCAAGTATCAACATTAGTAGGTTTAGATAGACTCCTGTTTGTGTGTAGGCTCCGAATTTATGGGACCACAGCTATTATTCGAAAAGGAAATATGCCACTGTTAATACATTTCTAGTACGGAAGAAAACTATGCGACTTGTATAGATGTTAGATATCCCTAATAGGTTAGGTACATTTAGTTCCGATCGGACTTCTCCGCCCGATACGAAAAGGGACTCGGGTGGTCCTTTTGTTGACGCATTTAACAGTTCATCAAATAATGCCTACCTAAAATTGTGATTTGAATTCAGTGGCTGGGCTGTACCGTATTGGGTATCAATTTATCCCCGTTAGCCGAATGGACAATGCCAGTGAGTGTTTGTTCATTCACTGGATTATACGCGCATTAAAACCAACAAAAATTATTATTTTTTTAATAGTTGGTTATGAAAAATTTTCTTTTAGGCCGTTTCACACGCCATTTTTATACTTATCGCAATACCAGAGCCATGTCATAACTATTTTTACATATTGTACATCATATAATAATGTAAATTATGTACGACAGAACAACAGTCATGTTCTTAGGATATTTGGCACATGTCAACGACACACTATTGTGTGTGTGTTACGAAATTTTGTTTAAATACACAATTACAAGTTATTTGTTAATTATCGGGGTTATTCGATTCAAACTAATTGTGTTCGCCTTGTTGCCAAAATATTTCCATAAAGGTTATTTAACCGACAACCGATAGTAAAAATCTTGTTTTTTGCATAATTAAGCATTTTTTTTTTTAAATCTATACCCGTTACATTCGATAAGCTACAAGAATTTTGAAACTAATTCGTTAGTGTGTTATCCGGTTAAATGTCAGTGACACCACTCTTAAATGACAGATACCGTATAATTACAGTGTTTTATGTCCATTCTTTGGTAAAAACGTGATAAGAATATGCCAAGTTTGGTCATAACCAGGTATCTGTTACCTGGCGAATAACATCAAGTTACACATCTACTCCGACAAGTTCGTTGTACGAGCACTCGTACTCAGAAATATCGTTTTACAACAAAAATATATTTTATTTTGATGATTTAATTTATTATTTAACTACTTTTATTTTGGATTTTCCAACATTGTTATGAATATAATGTGACCTTTTTTCTGGTATGATTAACCAAAGATTTTATTCATCCTTTTAATTTGACATAATTATGATACAAATAATATGTGAATCATCTTACCACATAATTATGGTAAGATTTAAATAAGCTGACAATAATTTATTAAGATTCCTTTAAGATATTTTTGTAAAGTTTTTGTTATGTTTTTTTTTTTTATATTTTTATAAATAATTGCTCGAACAAAGTACTTCTGGGTATTTATTAAGGGCAATAATTAGTAATTTTTGCAATACTAATGATATTTACTTCATTTTTTATTGATGCACATTAAAAACTTGTAGATTTCCTTGGTTTTTTTTAAATTAAAATTATGTTTTCAAAGCGTTTTGGCCTTTATTTAATTGAAAATACTGAAAAAATCAACATTCAGATTACTGAGGCTATGTACGAGGTAAAAAATGTTATTTTAGTAAATGATCCAAAACGTAAATTACTTTATTAACAATGCACAACATTTGTACATTACATGAGACATTTATTTTACAAGTAGAATTTTTAATATAAAAAAGCATTTATAAAAGTATAAAAATTAAAAAAATAAACATTAATAGGTAATCAATATATACTGACAACAATTCTCTAAAACTCAACACATGTTCGATACCGAAAACTTTCAATGAAAATTTCACAGCACACACAACGATATTAAATGGCAAACATATCAAGTCTCGATAAACTAAACTTTATTATATATTCTATAGCAAATTATCTAATTTGTTAATTTATCTCTACTTTTGTAAAAATAATGCTAATTCAAATTAAAATTTTGTTTAAATTTTAATTAATATATTTAGATGACAATATTTTACTATAAATAGTCATGTTTCATTCGAAAATACGCTTAACAATGTTAATTAACATTGTTTATTAAATTAATTTTATAATAAAAATTGATGAGTTGTGGCTAATATTATTTAATATTAAAACCATATAGAAAAAAAATTATTAATTTAAACTAAAAAATATTTAAAATATTTAACTTAAAAAGCCACAAAATAATTTCTAAAAAATCATGGAGGCCTAGTATTTCTGATTTGTTTGCAAATGTTTCAAACATTTTCAATGATGAATTATAAATTGTAAACTTTTTTTTATGTATACAAAAAATAAGTATAATAGAAAAATATTTATTTAATTTTTGAAGAAAACAATAATAAAAATGTAATTTCTTGCTTAAAATAAAAAAACAAAACATCAAATAAAAAAATGGCATAAATAATTATTCAGAGAAGTAGAAAAGGTTACAAAATAAATACAAATTATTTTAAAAAGCTAGACATGTGCAGTGAATAAAATTTAAAAAAATGAAAAAGTGTGTAGTTATATAAAAATGATTGTTTTAAGGTGAATCTATCTCTACGTCCCCCTTATTAATACTTTTACATTTTATATTCAATTTACTTTTTTGATAGAAATGATATTATATTGGATTGAATATCATCAAATTTTGGTGACATTTGATTAACTGGTGAATTTTTGTGGTATGACTCTTGCTGACCACTTGACTTATTAAAGAACAAAGGTATTTCAGACAGTTGACCTTTGATACACGTTGATGTTTCCTTATCTTCGATAATATATCCGTCAAAAATAACTTGATTATTACTATAACAATCTAACAAACTTCGGTCACTGTATGATGTTATACTACCAAAAACGTTTTCCTTAATCTGGCTGACATTAGTATTGTCCGACAAAACTCGGTCATTAAACAAACTTGTAGTGCCGAAAACATATTTACTGATCTGATTGGCATCAGTACTTTTTAATAAACCTTGTTCACTTAATCTTAGAGCTCCGTAAATTAGGTTATCATCATCGTATATTGGCGAAATTAGGTCATTAGAGCTTACATTTATCAAAAGACCCTCAACAGATTTCATTGAGTCGTACTCAGTAGAGGCTTCCTCGGCATGTAAACAATTAGATAATGAGCTTTTAGTATCAGAAACGCATTCGTTTAACTTTTTTACACAATCAGGTCTCATCAAAGTTTGGACCGTGAGTGAGTTAACATTTCTAAAAACACTTGTTTTGGTTTTTCTATTTTTATAGACTGCTAAAAATTTTTGATGAATTATATATAAACATAATTAGTATCATAAAATGGGTCACCTTGGGGCAGTTAAATATCCATCATTATTTTAGTCGTATCAATTTTTAGCACTAGTATAATTTTTATAAGTATTTTTAAGACCCACAATATATTCACAAAATTATTTGATGAAATTTGTAAAATATTTAACTGTTCAAGTTAAATTCATTTCCACCGGCACAAGTTGGCCTATTTGACGGTATTAACTTTTAATAAATGTAAAAATAAGACAAAAATACAAATTACATAAATAATTATATTGAACAATTCAGTTTAATTAATTTTTCTAAAAGAAATATGAAGCAATAAAACTCATTCTTATGGATATTATGAGACAGTGTTACATACAAATATAAATGAAATGTATCACTGAATCTCGAAGGGAATACGAAAATAACATATGAATTAATATTATTTTGTTTAAAAGAAATGTCAGAAAAATCATAATACACAAACGTGTAAGCTTTTTATTTTTTGCAAAATTTTTATTTCAACCGCTTTTTAAGTATATTACTCGTTTTTAATATTACACAAGAAAACCTTAACAGCTTAACAAAACGANTAATATTACACAAGAAAACCTTAACAGCTTAAAATCGAATCTCGATACTTGTTGGACTGAGACAGGATGTAAAATATATAGACTAGCTTAATTTTTATGTTTTTTAATAATACTTATATTAAGACTAATTTACATTAGTATATTTAGAACTAAATAAATATATTTGATTTTCATACCAGATCTAAAGTAGTTCTCATAAAATGGTATCCATTTTAACACCAGTAATTGTAGATATTGCAAAGTTATGCCCAGTAAAATTGAAGTAATTTTATAGATTGTCACGATTAAGCACCACGTTCTGTTTATAATAATAACAATATGAATATTCATTAACATTATGTTTTATATTATATCTCAATATGCACTCTTACGCATTCAGTAATAATCCAATTGAGTTCGAAATAATATCAACGAGAAATCTCTTCTCTTCTAAATGTTCAATTAAGTTATATAAAATATAAAAAGAGTCTAATTAAATAACCATCAACTTGAGTTGAGATGAAACAATATTAGAAAAAGGTGTATATTGGAGATATTTAAGTAAAAAATTTAAATGTACGATTTTTCATTAGGTACTTAACTATTTTCATAAATAAAATTAACGAATCATGCGCCAAAATGTGTGCAATTAAGAAAATATAAAACAAACATTTTTTTTTCAATAGATATGTATTATGACTTTTAAAATAATAAATAAGTACAATATTTCATATTTTTACTATAAATAAATATATATAATAATAAAAATAATTTGTTTTACTAATAAAATACAAATACAAAATATGAAAATTTAATAATTTGTCTTTTGAATTATGAAATAATGGACATAACACTTGAAAAAAAAATATTCGAGTATATTAAAGAAAGTTTTAATCCAGTGCTTGTTGAAATGTTTAAGTAAAAAAAAAAATTAACACCTAAATCTTAAAAATTAATACTAAAATTAATGGTATAGAACTTTTCAAATAAGACGCTTCGAAATTATGAAAACCTTAAAGTAATAAATAATGTTTTATTAAAAATTTTTACAACTAACTGGATATTTTGAAGGTTAATTAATAAAAATACTCTACCGTTACACTCCATTTTTAGCGATATTATTCTTTTAAGGCTCATGTTAAAATGGCAATTCACTGAAATTAAGTAATATAATTATACTTATGAATACATAAAAAAATACATTGACTCCAAATAATTTGATTCACAAGAAAAATTATAGGTCATTAACTAATAATAATTTTGATACAAATTCTCAAATGTTTACATAGATTATAAAACAACGTTGATATTGAGGAGGTTTCGATTTCAATACTTAAAGTTGTCATCGCCCTTATCACCTGAATTTTATTGGTAGTTATAATAACTGTTATATTTTATTTTCGTTATTACACAAAATTACATCATACAAATATTTAATTTTCAGTGGGTTTAAAAACTAATAATCAATTACACATAGCTGAACGTTGATAACTCTAATGATTTACACTTAACAGTTGATGAGAATTTATTAGTATCTGTTTTTACATATTAATATATGCATATGAGATAAAAAAATGTTCTATTACTGCAAAAAAAAAACAAATTTTAAATAAATTGTTAAGACATCTAGCTATTCCACAGGATTTTATAATGTCAGTATATATAAAATTAATTAGAACTTTTAATAGAATAAAGCAATAAATATCAAATTAGCTGCAAAATTCTGATTTAATGAAGTAAAACGATTTTAACTTATGTATAACAATGAACTAATTTTCTAGAAATAATGTTTTAATTAATTCTTAATTCTTATTATAATATGGCGACAAAAAACTAATTACTATAATCAACAATACTAAAAATGAATACTTTTTTCAAGCCGGAAAACTGATTTGACAGTTCACCTAAAATAAAGATGATTTAGGGTAATTTTTTTATTACAATGCAACTATTCGAAGCGTGCTTTATTGTAGTAAGTAGATTGGAAACAGTAAAGTCTAGATGACAGTCATATTAGACAAGTTTAGCCATTATAAATATGAGTATCAGAGAAGCGTCTAATGACAATTCAAACACCTACAAATACCGTTTTCATCTTCTCGCATTGAATCATTTTATTACAAGTTAGCGTATGTGACTTAACATAAGAATGTTATACGTTCGTTGGTAATATAATATTTTTTCGGTGACGATAATAAATAATTTTTTTTGTACATCTAAATTTAAAATTAAACAAATTATAATAATTCTTTAATTTCGGACAATTTACATGGGCGTGGAATTTTGTTTAAAATAATAACTAGTTTTAGATTACGGTATTCTTTTTAAGAGTAATTTGTATCATAGTGATAAATTAAGTGTGTAGATTACAGATAGTTAATAAAAATAAAAAAAAAACAAGATTATGTCCCAGATGGGCAATATTTTGTTATTCAAACAATAACTTAATTTTAAATTATAAATAAAAACACACACAACTAAAAACAATTTTTTTTAACGTTTTTATTTAAAATCAAGTTTTTTATCGAAATTCAAATATTAAAAAAAATAAAATAAAAAATATTTGAAAATGTTGACTGACATGTAACTGTGAAATTTTTATTTAAAAATAATCCATTTTTATAGAAAATATCAAGATGTTTTAAAGTAAATTAAATCATTTTTCCTTTGTATTTTAATGATTTTGGCCGAATATTATACACATTTTTTTAGATCATCTTATTGATCGAAATTCAACATTTTCAATTCGTTGATGACATTTTGGTTAGAGTATATATTTGAAAAAATCAGCAGTCTTATTTGCCACAGACGACAATAATTTAACTTAAATATTAACCAGTATGTAAGCGACTTGTTTAGTTTTCGAATTCGACTATGGTTTGAGTATAATTACACATGCAAATAAAATTCATGAAGCAGAACAAATTTTTGACAATTTCGTGTATGCAGTATGTATTTTTTCGTATGATGTTCTAACGGGTTTGCCGTATGCTTCACGAAGTTGTTAAATTAATACTAATATTATGTGGAAAACAAGTAGTAAGCAGTTTTGACGGAAACGATCCGAACACATAAATGCACTCATTATATATTCATAGAATTCGGCGTATCTTTGGTATATTGTAAATAATACACACAGCAACTTGCGTAATGCAACGCCAAAAGGAGTTACTGTTACAATAAACATTGAAAAGGGGAAGGTATCCGAGCTCTTGCTGTTAATATGATTAAGAACGAGAATTTTTTGTAAGGTGGAACTTTATTCAATATTCACTATGGACCACATTGGTCCACAGGTTTTCTTCTACACTTTAAGCTGTGGACCTCAGATAACTTAGTAGCTACTATATATTAAATTTATTAATATATTAAAAATATGCAACTGTAGCTAACACTATTTTAGTTGAGCATTTTTACATTTCTATATCTATCACATCTACACGCTGAAAGATGATTGAAAAAATGATATGAATTTGTTATTTTAAGCACTGAATTAGCAAATGAATGTACATAATTTTTCCGCAACGTCAAAAGGCAAATGTCACACAAAAATGCATTCATTGAGATCACATCACGTTTCTGTCGTGCGTGTAAACATTATTTTTTTTCGCACAAAGGTCACAAAAAAGTGGTGTTTTAAATTTACATTTCGGGGCGTATAGACGCTCCGAAATGACCTCTACCCCAGTCGTTTGCCCAACATCTCTTAACTATCACATATTTAAAAAAAAAAAAGAAGAATAATAATGAAAAATATAAGTTAACGAAAACGTAAAGTATTTTTACTGACAATAAGTAACCGGACGAATGAAAACCATGAAATGGACTTCAGACAAGTTTAAAATCCGACAAATTGTTCCTCTCTTTTGACATTTTTCCTACAATATAGTTTTTTTATGATCACACAGTTCTGGTATTGAATTTAATTTCAATCAATCGGGTGGTCAGTCGGTATTAATATTGTAAAAAAATTGTTTGAAGGGCGATGTCCTTGTTATCACCTTGAAAACGTTCATTTGAATTTTACTGACAGAGCCGGTACAATTGATTTTTTTTTTTCATTCTTTGTGAATTCGATTGTCTGTTATGTCATTTACTACAAAAGCGAATGCAAAAACTAAATAGAAATAATATATCAATGGTAATGGTTGATGTGTAAGTTACAATATTTTTACATGATAAAATATAAGCAAAGCCGATAGTGGTGTGGTAGAATATAGTTAAACTAAAAGCCGCTGGTCATTTACTTTTGAAACGATACATTTCGGATAAGAAACATTAGCATAGTAAAAAAAGAAAATACCACAAAAAAAAAAAAAAACGATTGTTATTGAGCGGATGCGGTGAAATTGATAAATAAACGTTACACAAGCGTACTGACTCTCCCCGAGCATAACCAACAAACACTACTCATGTTGATACATTACGATTGGCAGCTTATAAAATATGTAACACACATGCATACAAATTGAGTTCAAGGCGAAATTTCAATATTTCTAAAAATCGACCTACCGACACATCGTCCGTGAAGCCGAGTTTCTAAGTTACATAACAACCGAATGCAGACGGCTATAAAATTATTGTATAACATGTTTACTCCCTCGGAACTGTATCGTTCACGTTTTTAGCGATGCGATTCTCATGGGCCGAAAAATAAATATAGCAGCTATTTTAATGGCTGTGCAGTGTGAGTGGGTGGCCGTTATCCGACCATGCGATTACCGTGCCCATCTCGGGGCCCATGTCGTCACAACAATACAATCATTAGAAAGTGGTCGTTTTTATGACATTTTCGGTGTACCAGAAACGTGTCTCGTGTGGGGCGGCGCGACGTGCGATCCATTGTTCCATCGATTTTGACCTTCGAGGGTTTTATATATATATACATTGGCACAGACCTTCGCTTTTTTGTCCTTTCTCCACCACCTCAAAATGTGCCGGGCTCCCGTTTCGCGTGCGATAGGAACAGTTATTTTTTCGCGGGTCTTTTCTTACCAAACGGTACCTAAAGGCAAAACCCTTAATCCGGTGAAAACATAAAATCTGACCGAAAAAAATTCCACCATGGAATGCCGTTTTTTACTCGTTATGTTTATTTACTAACGGCAAGCGTTTTCTTTTTTTGTCTTGTACAAGTAGTAAAAAAAAATCCACAGAGTTAATGGTCAATACCTAAAATTTATATGATTGCCCGTGTTAAATGCGGCTGATAAATCAGAAATTTAAAACAAACGATAGTTAGTTTGGTAGCTTGAATTTGCCAGAAATGCTTCCATTACGTTACGTAGAAATCGCGGCAGTCAATGATCTATAAAAAGTACTCGGATTTTACAGTGAGTAAACTCACTGGTGATAAGCGCGACTGTACCCAATAAAAATTACAATGATGCTAACCATAACGGTTAAGATTTATAATTGTTAAAGTATACTTAAATAGTCAGTACACGAGGTATGCAAAACGGACCGTACCGACCAATGGCTGAGTTTATTAAAATTTCTGGAAAAACGCGTCTGAGACATACATTTTATATGTCACGTGTCCACCGCATTTACCACACTTGTAAAAATCATACTGTTCATTTTGTGTTTATTTATACATATTTATACATTGACGGGGCATCAAAATAATGCATTTCACACAATTGATGACAGTCAGTGAGAAGATCTGAATGTGTTTCAAAGTAAAATCAATTTAAAAGCATAGTAACTAACACGTTAAACAAGAAAATTTGCGAAAAGTTTTCCGATTTCATTGACTGGGAATTTAGGAAAAAAATTGAATTTACCTATTTTATTTATTCATTTTAATCGGAAAACACTGAATATATTTTTATTATAGGACAGAATTGTTTTAAAATTTCATATTTGTTCAAAACTGTTTAAAATTTAAAAAATTTATGATGTTTTAAAAGCTTTAATCGAATATTTTTAGACGAAGAAATGTGTCAGTACATTTATGATAGACTAATTTCCGGCAAATAACATTTATAATAAAAAAATTGAAGAAATCCAAAATATAGGGGAGACTATGTCAATCATAGCAAAGGTTAATATTAATATTGTAGTGATAGTTTCAAGTAATAATATAACTGACGGAAATTTAAAAATAAGTGTAATTGTGAAACTTTGATGTGTACTCTAATAAAAACTTAAT